AGATAGCTTTGTGCATAACAACAACATATAAACCCGTTATCTTTAACAATACACATGAGGAACGTTCAACTCTTGAATTCTCAGTAATTTGCTCAGGATATTTTACCATTCCAAATACTTAGCCTTTTCCCCCGTAAAAAAACAAAACCTGATCCGACCTTCACCTTAAGACGGAATAATATGCCCTACAATTCTTAATTTAGGCCTATTTTCAAAGTCCATTATTATAGAAAAACAAAACCTGATCCGACCTTCACCTTAAGACGGAATAATATGCCCTACAATTCTTAATTTAGGCCTATTTTCAAAGTCCATTATTATAGAAAAACAAAACCTGAATGCGTTTTTGAATTTTAAAGGTATAATTCGCAGGTTCAATTAAACTGGATTAATTTCTACATTTGGATAATTAAGCCCTCGTGTAGCTTTGCGTGAAATTCAAAACAAACAAAAAAGCAGATTTGCCTCTGAGCCACTGGGTGGGCTTTTTATCATAAAATATTATTCACAATTACAATATCTGTTATTAGATGGCACCACAGTGTGCAGGAGAAAATACTTGCTTCACATACAAACTGCGTGGATCATAGCGAGAACAGAATGGACTAGTTTTACAGTGAACTAAAATGTTGTTTTTGATTCGTTTGGTATATCAGTGTCCAAAAGCACACATACTAAATAGCTTTTTTATGATGCCCGTGTAGCTGTCACATAGTTGAGACTATTCTTATTAGTATATTGGATCTTGTTGTTTCGCTGTGTTCTTCGTGAAATATCTGCCACCCCCCCCCCCGCCTCAAGTTGGTCATTGATAATCTTGAGGGCTTTTTAACGCTATAATTGGGGGTTCGATCCTCGTGTGTCAGTAGGGTGGCACAGCACAGATAGCATAAACAAACAAACAAAACCTAGCCTATTAGTTAGTATCTCAAAACCTTTCTAACAATAACCCAACAAAGAAAAGATGTATTCCTGGTTTATCAAAGAAATATTTTAGAAAAACCTTTTGTTGCTGCTAAAAAACGTGGTCTGGAGTTAGACATGACAAATATGTAAATGTTGATGCTTGTTATTTCAGGTCAGAAGGCCTAAACCCTCCCTGGTGAGGGGGTATTTGGTGACAATCGTCTCAGCGTTTCGCCAGTTATAAGGGGACTCACACACACATACATTTTTGTGGAATAATGAATTATAGATTGTTGAAAGTAGTTTTCAAAGAGAAAATAATGGAATAAAGATTTTTCTTCATTTAGTGGCTATTCTCGTTTACATTACCTTAAGGGTCTAAAAGTCTCACACTGGTGATAGTCTTAGTTTCAAAAAAATTAATCACGAAAACTCGCATGTATCACAAGGTGTTCCAGGATCTTACAATACCCCAATCGCATGTATCACAAGGTGTTCCAGGATCTTATAATACCCCAATCACATGTGTCACAAGGTGTCCCAGGATCTTATAATACCCCAATCGCGTGTATCACAAGGTGTTCCAGGATCTTACAATACCCCAATCGCATGTGTCACAAGGTGTCCCAGGATCTTATAATACCCCAATCACATGTGTCACAAGGTGTCCCAGGATCTTATAATACCCCAATCGCGTGTATCACAAGGTGTTCCAGGATCTTACAATACCCCAATCGCATGTGTCACAAGGTGTTCCAGGATCTTACAATACCCCAATCGCATGTATCACAAGGTGTTCCAGGATCTTACAATACCCCAATCACATGTATCACAAGGTGTTCCAGGATCTTACAATACCCCAATCGCATGTATCACAAGGTGTTCCAGGATCTTACAATACCCCAATCGCATGTATCACAAGGTGTTCCAGGATCTTACAATACCCCAATCGCATGTATTACAAGGTGTTCCAGGATCTTACAATACCCCAATCGCATGTATCACAAGGTGTTCCAGGATCTTACAATACTCCAGTGAAACGCTGTGTATGTTTTACACCCTATTTTAAATAGTAGGGTGAATTGGGTGCTTGGTTTTTCTCTAAATAGAATTTTTTAAAACCTTATTCTCAATTATGATATCGGTTAAACACCTCAGGCAACAATAATACTAGGACTGTTTTTGCTGCTGTTTGGTCTCTATTTTAACTTAAGTTATGACGTTGTAATAGTTCTAATGATGACTTATTAAGTTGTCTAGTTTACATAGCGTGATCATTGTTGTTGTCATTTCAGCCCTAGTATGGTAACCTAATGGCTCGGGCGTAAGTCTGCAGGCCCACGACCCTAAATTTCGGGTTTCAATACCCGTGGTGGGCAAAGCACAAGTAGCCCATTGTGGAGCTTTGCGCTTAACAACAACTAAACTAAACCAAAGTCGTTTCGTTCCAGTCCCAATATGCCTCCATCCAGTCCCTCAGCCGTAAGCCTTCAGGTTTACGACGCTAAAAATCGTGTTTCGAAACCTATTGTGGGCAGAGCAGAGATAACCCATTGTGCTTAAAAACCACTCGAACAAACCGAACAGTCATGTTGTTTTTGGTAGTTTAAAACATTTAAACTTTATGAATAGTCTTAAAGTATTAAGATTGGGATTAATGTCTTCGTTTTTGATAATTGAATTAAACAAATGTGTGCAGCATGTTTTATAATCTTTTCTTTTTTTAATTCACTTTAACAGTTTTGGTTACGTGAACTATTAATATTTCTAATGTTAATTTTTTATTACACATTGGCATCTCAATCAATAATGAGAGTTACTTTAAATGTTGTTTTGAAGTAAACTTTAGTTTAGCTTTTGGCCCATAGATGGGGCTACTTTCTTGTATTAAAATTAGCATTTTCTTCATTATATAAATATATAATAAAATTAATATTGATATAAAAGAGCGATTTCCTTTGTTTGTTTGTTTTGTAATTTCACGCAAAGCTACACGAGGGCTATCTGCGCTAGCCGTCCCTAATTTAGCAGTGTAAGACTAGAGAGAAGGCAGCTAGTCGTCACCACCCACCGCCAACTCTTGGGCTACTCTTTTTACCAACGAATAGTGGGATTGACCATGGCCGATTTCCTTTGTTACAAGGTGAAACATCTGATTTCTTTCCAAATGTAAATACATAATAATATCCTGATAGTCAATAGTAATAAGCTTTTCTTTTTTTTTTACAGTAAGAGTAAATTAAAAATATATATATATATGAGATTTTTCACATCATTATTGTACAATCGACTCCCTTTCAAAATCTAACCTCAGCACCTCAATGAGCTACACAATTATTTATCAGATTTTTTGAGTTTCCGTTTTCTCAGGAATTGGCATATTATAACCATTCGTCAAGGAAAAATTATCTATAAACATTATTCTAATACTTCTCGTATTTTTTCCGTTCCGTTGTGTCCGGACTGGTAGTCTGTAGAAATAGGATTTTATTTTTTGGAGACAGTTTTTTAAACCTATAATAATCAGGTAATTTCCGACATTATTTCGAATCGCCACTTAGAGAAATATTTTTCTTTATTACATCAATAACTTGTAATCTAATTTAAAACGAAGAAATGGAAAGCGTCCACGTGACAACATATATTATTATTTATAGTTATGTAATAATCTAGATGTTAGCTAGAGGGCGTTAAGAATGAAAACTTTAATAATGTCGGCGTAGAAGATTCTAAAAATTTTGATCTCAGATTTTCTGGTAAATTCGTTTGTTTGTTTTTTGAATTTCGCGCAAAGCTACACGAGGGCTATCTGCGCTGGCAGTCCCTAATTTAGCAGTGTAAGACTAGAGGGAAGGCATTTAGTCATCACCACCCACCGCCAACTCTTGGGCTACTTTTTTAGCAACGAATAGTGGGATTGACCGTCACATTATAACGCCCCACGGCTGAAAGGGCGAGCGTGTTTAGTGTGACGGGGATTCGAACCTGCAACCACTTGGCCATGCCGGGCCCTGGTAAATCCGAGCAGTAGGTTGTAAGTACGAAGGGTAGTGAGGCATAGACGAAGGCTTTTTCTAGTCATGAGAGTAAATCAGTCAGAGAGTGTTTTTACTTCAATTAGCGGTATATCAATCAGTCGGTGTTTTGATTTCAGTTACTCGATCGGTCAGCCGTGAAATTGTACAAACAAGTTTGTTTTTACGTTAGTGTAGTATAGTTATTATGGCTGTAAACGTGTTCTACGACTTACCACAGTGTTTAAGCCTGTAAAAACGGTAAGGAAAAATGAATTAATTTATTATCGTCACGCGGACTAGACTTTGAATTATTTAAAATAACCTGTCAAAGAAAGAACAACTTTACAACACTAATATCAGAAGTGTGATTATTGAATTTCAAATGTTGAAAATGGCGACCACGAGATGAAAATTTCATATCATTCTAGGTCATGCGCCCTCTACTTAGTTACCACATTAAAAAAAAAACATAAGCTTATATTATTACCATTATAAAGACTTTCTTACATTCAATTATATTAAATTGAACAGACAACGTTACTTACAAATTGTAGCTATTCATTTACTTAATAATCTATAATTACCAATCTCAAATGTTTCATAATCTGATAGTGACCAGTGTCAGATTTTTGTTTATTTGGTAAATGACGAGTCACAAATCTTTCCTAATTTGACAATCTAAAATTACAACTGACAGTTTCTTCTTACTAGTCTCAATGTCCTCTGGTGGTACAGCTGTAGGCTTACAGACTTACAACGCTAACATGCAGGTTTCGATTCCTGCAGTGGACACAGCAGATAGCCTAATGTGTCTTTACCCTAAAAGAACAGTACTAGTTTCAAGTCTAAAATTACCTCGGATAATATACAGTTGGATTTGATAACCACTTCATTTCTACTGAGATCTGCTTACTGTCTTTTTCCATGTAAGTTTACTTGAAAAACTGTAACCATTCGCCTTCTTTCTTTCTAGGTTCTATAAGCACTAAGCGTATTGGAAACCTTTGTTATGTGCCTTTGGCTGGTCAGAAAAATAGGCTATTGTCTAAAATCTATATTAAGTCAGATAGATAATACAGCATGGTC